CGGCAGCGGTGCGGCAGCTTTTTTTTTCTAAGGCCGCGGCGCGGCAGCGGCAGATTTTCAGCCGCGATGGACATCTCTGAGCACAACTTCCAAAATGAATATTTCGTCTTAATAGTGACTTCTAATCCCTTCATAATAGTGTGCCGCCCTTACAGACGCCTACTGTAATTATGAAAATGAGTTTATTCAGTCCCAATCGAAAGATCTCATGGCGTTCTACGTAGCACTACTGGTTTCTCAACTGGTACAACTTTCATAATGAATATTGGGTATTAATAGGGATCCCAACCCCCTCCAAAACCATTTGCCCCTCTCGTAGACCCCGATCATGATAATGAAAATGGGTAAATTTCGCATCATTCGATAGATTTCGTTCAGTTCAATCTGGTAGAAGTGCTTTCTCTACCGGCACAACTTTCAAAATGAATATTTAGTCATAATAGGGACTTCAAACTCTCAATAACCCTTTGCCACCCTTCTAAACACTAACCATGATGATGAACATGAATCAATTTGATATCATTAGATAGATCTTATCCACTTGTACCTGATAGAAGCCCTTTTGCAGCTACCACAGCTTCAAAATGAATATTTGCTGTTGATAGGGACCCCAAACTCTGAATAACTACTTGCCGCCCCTCCAGACTCCAACTGTGATGACGAAAATTGGTGAATTTGTTATCATTCGATAGATCTCGTTAAGTTCTGTCTGGCACAAGTGCCTTTTTAACTGATACAGCTTTCAAAATGAATATTAGGCCAAAATGCTAATTTTTTTTTCACAAAAAATTAGTCATTTGAAAATAGCTTTTAGAATTTTTCCAAAGCTAGGCATTCTACAGTATATTCGATGCTCTATCTGACACAAGAAAGATTTTTTTTTGGCACCACTCTATGAGCATATATTTCTCCAAAACTCTCGAATCTGCTGCTAACTTTAGCTGCGTGATAATAGACATTTTTTTATTTTTTGTAATTTGAAATTATTATTTTTTTTCACCATCGACTATTTCATGAATAAGACTTATAATAGTGCAGTTGATACGCATTAGCAGCTCTTACTACACTATGATATACTTCAATCAATCTATAAATGTTGATATTATTTACTTTTTGAATTGATAAACAGATCGAATCATGCTTCTCATGTTGATTATATGAGTACTATGACAGGTCTATATATATTATTATTATTCATCCTTGATTTTTAACGAATAAGTTTAAATTCTAAAAAAAAAAAGTCAACGATTACACTATTAAGAACTCTAACAAATGTATAATAGTTTTCTTTTTAAATAATTATGAATATATTGAAATATTGTATAGCAGTCGAATTCATATACTTCATACTGATCAACTCGTTTTTTTTTATTGTTAAATAAATCTAAAAGCCTTTTTTGGGCGATTGCTGAGATCTGTAACGAAGATAGAGAGGATGGTGGAGTCGCAAAAAC